TTTAAGATGGAGTCTCGCTCTGTCACCCAGGCTGGAGTGCAGTGGCGTGATCTTGGGTCACTGCAACTTCTGCCTCCTGTGTTCAAGTGATTCTCAGCCTCCTGAATAGCTGAGATTACAGGCGTGTGCCACCACGCCCACCAGTTTTTTTCTATTTTTCATAGAGTCGGGGTTTTACCATGTTGGTCAGGCTGGTCTCAAACTCCTGACCTTGTGATCCACCTGTCTCGGCCTCCCAAAGTGCTAGGATTACAGGTGTGAGCCAGTGCGCCCGGCCCACAGTACCCATTTTTATAACTAAAGTTTTATTGGAACACAGCTATGTCTGTTTGTTTAGGTATTGCCTGTGGTAGACTTGAGGGTCTGGCCAGCAGAGCCTAAGATATTTACTGTTTGGCACTTAGCATAAAAGCTTACCAATCCTTGTTCTAAATTAACATAAAGTTAGGTTTTAAAGGAAAAGTTATGTTTTAATTTTGAGACTAGAGTATTATAACTTAACCATGTTTATTTTATTCATTTGTAATGTTTAGATTGAAGCACTTGAATCTACTGTGAAAAAAATAATTTATTCTTGACATTAAAAGGAATTGAAAAGAAAGCTATTGAGTGTGTACTTTGATTTTTAGGATCCAAATTTAATTAGCGTGAATAATTTTGAAGACTGCAGTTTGTGTCCCAGTGTTCCCATTGAACATGGATTTCGTAGACAACAGTCTAAGTCAAATAATGTTGAAGAGACTGAAATACATTGGAAACTGATTCCAATTACAGGTAAGGAAAGTATACTTGGACTTTGGTTTGCTTCATTTTACTTAAGAGACCTGTTTCCTGAAGGTTTGCATCTTTTCTGGATTTCACTCTTGGGTCACTAGTCCTTCATCCTATTGGCACTGACATCTTCAGTGTCTTATTTTGAGTAATGCAATGTTCATCACTGAGTGTTGCTGTTCTTGGTAAGCATCAGCAAGCACCTGCAAAACTGCTTATTAAAAACAGGGATTTAAGACACGCTCTGTCTGTGGAGTTAGCATGCAGACTGCCGAATGAAGACTGTTGGCAGAAACTGAGTTTCTGATAAGATGACATAGCTACAGAGGTAAAATGGTCCGCTCTTTGAACAACCAATTAAATGCATCTTCTCAAACTTATTAAACTTCACCATAACAAGCTGTCATCTAGTAAGTGATAATGTTGAGGTTCATTTTTTAGAAATTTGATTTCTTAATACTGGATTATCTTAAATAAATTGGATTATCTTAGAGAATGACCTGAATGACCAAATGTAAATGTTATTGAATTATGAGGCCAGTAGAGTTTAGCAAATGTTGAAAGATTATCATTTTTTTGGGATAGCATTCTAATTTCTCTGTGCAAACACACACACATACACACACATAAATACATACTCCTTTTTTTTTCTTTCAGAACAGCAAAGGGCTTTTCCATAAGGAATACACACTCTTAATATTCTAAGTTCTTATTCGCTTACCTTAGCTAAACATTTTTTGGGAATATTTTCAGGGCATACATCTTTTCCAGTTGTACGTCTTTAACCTTTTAAAAACAACAGCAACAACAAACAACTTTTTGTTACAAAGTAGACTGGCCTGTGAACTAGTCTAGAACCTACTGAAACCTCCAAGGACTCTGAGAAGAATTTCTAAAACTCGATGAGTTCCCATGGGCTTCAGCACCATCTTCTACTTAATACCTTTCTAGAGGGCAAGAGGCCTGTAGGTGATGATAGAGGGAACCTAAACCTAGTATTGTTTTATGAGCTGGAAACATAAGCTTGAGTGGGAGAAACAAAATAGGGAAGTAGTTGATACAAGATGGTTACCCTAACCATTTCTCATTTAGATGCCTTCATACTTGGTGTTGAGGGTCATTTGAAGTTAACAGTATTTTAATAAGTGTTCATATTTCATCATCAGTGGTAGGACCCTTCAGTTTATTTTAGGCAGAAGGAATGCTTCCATTTCTTACCAGTTGGGGTTTTCTGAAAGGTGTTTAGTAGGTATCACTTCCTTCTGAACCACAGTTAAAAACAAACAAAAAAAGTAGGTATCACTGATGTCTGAAGAGAGTCTAATGGATGCTTTCCCTCAGGAGGGAATGCAAGAAGCCCAGAAGACCAGCTGGGGAAACATGGTGAGAAACAAACACCAGGTGAGAAGGCTTGCTTTGCTTTTCTTCCCAGTGTGCCCTTCTTCAGAATTGCTACTTGCATTTCTGGTAATCCATCAATAGGGCATTGACTTAAATTTTTTTAATTACAGAGGATTTGGACAATACCATATATATATATGTAAGTCATTACTTGTATCCAATATTCTTAATATAAAGGTGTTCAAAGAAGTCACTGAATATTTACATAGATTAAGTTTTCTTCACCCATAGTAGAGTCTATCTTATAATTTGGGAAGACCAGAATATATTCCTAAACCATTTGTGCAGAGTATCTTGTATCATTTGAAAATGATATATCATTCTTTTTTTATTTTTTCTTCATCTTTTTTTTTTTTTT